ATAGGAGATGGGGCTGTTGTAGGCAACAGGAGTAGCTGAGAAAGTATCTAAGTGTGCTCAGTGAGAGGACAAAGCAAGGAGCGGATAAAGAGTGAAAAGCAAAAACTCAGAACAGCGGGAGCGAGTCTGTTGGGAGTTTTGTAAATCTGATGGGGCAAGAGTACGGTGCTGTTAAGCACAGACCATTGCAGTTTTTCCTGTTGTGAGCTTGACTTCACCGCCCCTGCACACGCATCTTTCCTGGGCTTGCCTAACGCACCACTGGGCTGCGGCGAGCGGTTGCTTCCTGGGAGGAGGACGCGCTCCAGGACGGACCAGGCGACCGCACTGCACGCTCCAGCTGGTCCGAGACCCGTCCCCAGTGTGTGTTGGCCTAGAAACCTGCCTGTGTTTTACAGGTGCAAAATGCCACGGGTGTAGCCACGCGACCAAGGAATTCAGTACACAGTCCTCAATCGTCGGCTTTTCCTCTGTAAGCAACGGGAGGAGGCGTGCCTCTCGGTTATTACCCGTGGCCCAAATCCCCGCCACTGGCTGTGCGAAGTCAGTGCGTGGGTGTTGGTCACCTACAGTGTCCGTGTCCTCTGCAGTCAAAGGGGAGAGCTCTCGGCGTGCCTCTCTACACCATCCATACTACCTGCACCCTTAAGCCACCACCCAGCCGACTGGAGAAAGGACCGGCGAGAAAAAAGTTCCTTCCCCTCTAACCCTGCCCGCCTGTACAGGTGTGCCCACACACCCCTCCTTGTACACACACACATGTTTAAAGGAGCCCAATTCAAGACTGTCGAGAAATGCTGAGCTTAACTTTGGCTGTATTGCAACTTCTTGCCTCCAAACCGGGCCACCTCTGAGAGGCGGGAATGCTCCGTATCGATCCACCAGCGATAAGTCAGTGCTGCGCCGCCTGAACACGATGTGGAAGTCCGAGTTATGTTTTTGATGATCTTTTGATAAAAGGAGGTAATGATTTTTTTTTCCTGTAACTTTACAGAAGCTTCGTCCTCTGCCTCCAGGGTACACAATTTCAAAATCCTGAGTTAGTGGGAAGACCGAACTGAGGCCCCCAGCACAAGCTGGCTGTAATTTTAAGTTTTTCCAGTTGTCTCTTTGAGGAACTGCGTAAGCATGAGCTCTGTATGGATTTCATCATATGTAAAATATGATGTCCATGCTCCAGGATGTGGATCAGATGCCTTAAGCTACACTGCAATAAATACTGCTAGTAAAATGCTCGAGTATAGTTTTAAGGGGTGGATCTCCTCTAGCTTTGCGTTTAAAGGTGTGTTTGGAAGTGCTCTGGGTGAAAAGGAAGGGAAATGAGTCTTCAAGACTTTCACAGAGGAGGTGAGAGAACCATTAGCGTTGAACTGAAAAGCTGGGCATTCCCAAGCAGCAGTTTTGATCACGTTTGAACAGTTTGCTCAAAATTTTCATTTCACTCTGCCACAGAAACTTCAGAAGGTGACCTGCCCCATACGCCTTGCTCTTGCAGGGTATGAGGGACTTCAAGCGAGTCACAAATAGTTTAAACCTCGATCATGTCACTATCGTCACACCATGCTCTGTGTGTCAAATCAATAAAAAACCCAAACCCGTTTCACACAGCATTAAAACTGCACGGGCAAAGGAGCACTAGAGGGGGCTGGTTGTACATAGCTCAGCTGAGATGTGGTCGCTGCCTTGGTGCCTCAATCCCACTGCGTGTACGCGGCCCGTGAAGCCCCGACGGACACCACCAGCCTGTGCCAACGCTCCTCAGTGTAGCTGCAGCCACAGAAACTGCAAAACCTGCCCAGAACCAGGGGCAGAACCCAGACTGTTAACCTCGGCAGCGTTGCTGTGTCCGTGCTGCTCTCTCCTCCAAAGGTGCTTCTCTGCAGACCCACCCCACGCTGCAGATGAGCAAATGCTCACCCCGAGGAAGCAATGCCCACAGGCACCAGCAGTTCCAGTGTCTGCGGGACACAGCTGCACCAGGTGGTTGCTCCAAGCTCTGGCTCCCTCTTCTCGCATCTCCAAGCTTGCCCACCTCTGCTCCTGAATTAACTCCTTTCACTATTCGCATTTTGTGAAAGACACACCGAGTGCCAACTCTCTCTGCTGCTGCCAAGTTAGCAATGCAGAGAGTACAGCCCTCTGCCCCTGCAGCCTGAGCCAGAAATCCTAAATGCATTTGGAGCTCTTTCAACCTGGAGTCACTTTCTATTAATTAGTCCTGGGAAGCTTTATAGCCGTTCCTAAAATAATGGAAGAAATTGCTTAAAGATATCCCCAGAGCAGCTCAATGTTAGCCAAGATTTTCTCTTCAGAAGACACAGGACTACTGTTCCTTAAAGGCCAACCACCTCTGCCACACCAGCCTGGCACAGCCCAGCTCTCACTTGGAAACCAGAGTGAAGCAGTACTGCACTTGAGATTGTGACAATGACAATAATAATAGATAATAATTAATAATAATCATCATCAACAACAACAAAACAACAAAACAACAACAACAACAACAACAACAATAATCATAATAATAATAATAATAAATAATAATAAAGATAATAATAATAATAATAATAATAATAATAATAATAATAATAATAATAATAATAATAATAATAATAATATACTCATCATCAATTTTGATGGAAGACATGTGACTGCAGCTCACAGCTCCTCCTCTGCCAGCAACTCCAGTCTCAGAGCACAGGAGATCATACGCGTCTGGGTTTATCTGTGCCTGCATCCCCCCTTGCAGAAGCACCTGCTGCACTCTGGTAGTGCCAGAGTTCATTTCCCTCACCATGAGCATCCAGAAAGAGGTGAGAGAAAGCCAAAAGATGCTGCTAAGTTTACTGGGGATCTTGCTAGTTCCTGGGTTTGGTGACGTTTTGAAATTATTTTGAATTTTAGCCATGGGCTCTTCAGCATGCACAAATCCCTGGACTACAACTTTGAAGAAAAAAAATAAAATCTCCCTTCCTTCTGTGTCGTGAAGCTTTTCCCTTCCCGCTCCTCTCAAAACCATGGGGTAGTTGCTCAGACCACCTGCTTTATGGTAGGCATGCAAGATGCTGTGGTGTCTAAATTAATTTTCTACTTTGTATCTGAAGGTTTAACACTTAGCAAATGTCAATCTTCATGCAAGTGACATATTTCCCTGTTTTCTGTGTTTGAATAATGCTTATTATCATTTGCAAAAACTCCTTCAGATGTTCTCTCTTCACTGTAATGCCCATGAGTTCTTCTAAACCTCTGAATTCCCTCTTTCAGTTCTCTTTCTGCTACATCCATTTCTGTTTCTGCATTTAAATTTTTCTAACTTCGCTCCCAGTCCACACTGCTGCCTATCCCTGTTTCTGGCAGCCTGTATCCGGGTACTTGCACTGAGAGAACATTCAGCTGAATTAGCCGACTCCAGCGAAAATCCCAGCAGAGACAAAGCTGTTTGAGTTTTTTACTATAACTAGTATAGCAAGTGGAGAAAGAGTCACAAAGTTACTTTAATCCTTCCGCTCCACAAAAAAAAAACAAAACCAAAACCAAACAGATTTCAGGTGCACTGAGCTGACAGTAAAGCCTAGCCTTTGTCCACAGGCACCTAAATTCTCCTTGCAGCTCCCTGAGGCTCTTGAAGACTCATTGCTGCACACACTTGGATAGGTTATTGTTCTGTGGGAGCCACACAAAGACAACACCGAGTTCGCTTGAAATTGCTGAGGAGGGGGGGAAGAAGGGAAAACGTGCCCGCGCAACCACGCAGAGGTTGGGGCACTCACCTGGAGGTGACGAGGATTCCTTCTTCAGCTGGGGTGGTTTCGAGTCCTCGTAACCATATCGCAGCAGAGCTCACCAGCCACAAGTCAACAGGAATAACGTGATGTGAGGTGAAAGCAGAAGGGGTGATGAGGAAGGGAAGGGGGACTATTACAGCTGTCATCAGGCATGCAAGCTCCATGGGGCCGGAGCAAGAAGCCAGCAGAAGGAGCCTGCCTTTGGGCCCTGCCCTTGATGTTACTGATGCAATTGATCCAAGAGTTATTTGGGGACAAATTCTGTGTTCTCATCACTGGAGCAGAGGTGTCCATCCATCCATAGGAGTGCTTGGGTACAAAGAGGTCTCGTGCCATCAGTTTTTCATCGCTCCCTTAGCGCTTCCCTCGTTGGTCTCTGCGTCCTGACTGCCTTTATAGTGTCGCATAAACAACTCCTATGAAAAGCCATTATCAGTCTCTCCAACCTCAGGTCACACAATATTGAGCAGCTCTTAAGACATGCCACAAATCCAAGGCACTTCCAGCTGAAGGCTGTGACAACACAAGATTTCGGGCAAGTCCCGTACCAGGAAGATAAGGCAACAGTCCCTTTCCCCTGTTCGGTCCGGGTTGTAGCTGTGGGTGTTCCACAGTCAGAGGAGATTCAGGTACTGACTTCAGAGCACCAGGGTCCAGAGCCTGTTACCGACCTGTGATAAAAATCCTTGAACGTAAAAACCATTTGCCTTGGAATAGGCACAAGTACAATGGTTGTTACAGAGATCAGAATAAAACCCTTGGAGTGTAGCCGTGAAAAAAATGCTGGATTTTTGTCATTTAACCAAAAGATATGGAAATCTGTTGCACTTAATAATTCTGCATCTGTCTTGTTAAGTGAATGATAATAAAATCAGGGAGTTGGGGTTTTGAGTTTTGTTTGTTAAAATGACAGTTGAGTTTCACTCTTTTTGTATATGGTATCATTTGCAATGATACAATGTGGGAAACAGCACAAAGCATCAACTAAGCCCTTACTGAACAGTCCTGTGGTGAAGGGGTATCAAATCAGAAGTAGGAGCTCTGATCCCAGTTCTGTTGCAGGCTGTCTTCATCATCAAGTCATTTAGGCAAGGGGTTTTTGTTTGATTGTTTTTTTATGTTTAGAAAAACAACAGGCACCTCAGATTTGGGGGCTGGAACTTGTTAAAAAATATTGTTTTTTTTTTTTTTTCCCTATAGTAAACAAAATGTATTTACAAGGAATACCAAAATGTATTTACAAGACCTTCTATAGCTTGCAGAAATGTTGTAGTTTTGACAGATCAGTCCTAGATGTAATTACTAGTCCAGGAATAATGTTATCCTTTTTTTTAAAGCAGTGACATGTTGCTAGCCGTGGGGAAGAGTCTGATCCCTTGCCAGGTATCACTGGAAGAAACACAAGGTCAGCATATAACTTCATTGACTTTACACAGGGCTGAGTCTGCCTTTCATTACGATTCAACTATGTAGTCATTGATGTGAAACAGACCATTCAGAGCTGAAAGCACTTTAAGAAGGGTACAGCAACAGCACACAGCAAGTGATCCCATCATTCCAGCTGAGTCCCAGGTTGTCCAACAGAATAACATAATGTGAGATCTTGTATTTCTTAACTATTTTATCCCATTCGCAGTTCCTCTGCTGTAACCCAGATCACTTTCAACAAAGTACTGGAGTCAAGCCTCAGTCCGAGACATGAAATTTCTATGGCATGATGATGAGCAGGCATGGAAGTAAAAGAAGCCTTCCAAACCTAAATACCTTCCTGTAATGTCAGACGGGCAAAAGTCCTCTGCCATACCGAAGTCCACTTCAGAAATCACAGGCAGTAAAACTGCAGTGGGGAAGAAACTGGATCAAAAACTGTGCATCGTCCTTCTAAGACTATATACACACCCACAGCAGTTCAACTTCCTCACAAATGCAAATTAAAGAAATTATCTGGCTTCAGAATTACTAGGGTTCATTGCCGGAGAAGGTGCTTAAACTTCCTCAGCTCCATTTTAGTGGAGGCCCACACTTTTGCAAAGAAGTAATTACTCTAGCCTTAATGCACAGTCTGCATGGCTCCCACGGGGAAGAAGGAGACAGACATGTCAAAAATAGAAAGACGTACTGCACAGTGAAGTGGGGTGGAAAGAGAGGGAAAAAAAATGATTCTGCAGTTCCCAGGAATTGAGCTGATATAATTTTTGTCTCAGCTGTAAGCTTCAGGTCCATCTCCCTTCTGACCAGACTGGCTTGACACACAGCCCCGGTGTGAAGCTGCAACACACATTCTGTTTGAAGGACAGGTGGCAGTGTGAAATCCTAGGAACTTTAAATACCAGAAAGTACGGGCATGCCTGACAAATCTTTCTTAAAAGTAGTTTCACATTCACTCAGATACACTCAAAACCTGAATTGAGTGTACCTGCATGGAAACCATTCTATACCCCACATTGTGTAATAGCCACCTTTGATCAACATTAATTTCATGTGAAAGAGTGGACCAGGTATGAACTTCCACTCTCCTAAGACTTGTACAATTAGTGATTAGGGGCCATCTATGCATATTTCTTGCTCACAGTACTCCTCAGGGGCGAGCAAGGGAACAGGACATATTTCCCTATTACTTACTCATCCAATATTTTTTTAATACCTTCTTTGACGTCTATGTATCTTTCCCTTAGTTTTTTTTTTCTGAAGAAGCAAAGGGCAGATAGATGAGTGAGCTTCTGAGGCTGGTTCCGCATCTTTTCATTCCACAGAAAGGGGTGTATGAAGTTATTTTCTATTCTGAGAAATTTCAATGGAAGATTCAAAATCCCAGATGGCAAAGCAGAGAGCTGGTTCTCTTCGATGTTCAAACATTTGAGGTTTTTTGTAATTTTAAGGACCCCCAGGTGTTTATAGGCTGTTCACACCATATCCTACCTTGACCACAGTTATATAACGTCCTAATTCCCATTTGATGAATTAATAAACCGAGATGGCAGGTATATATAGAATGCTGTGTGTTTCTCATGGTGCGCCTTACATTCTAGACACATCTGTACATACAATGCTTTTCTAATTCTTATTTAAATACTTGGGTTATGTAGAAAGACAGGGATGGCTGTATCTGAATGCTTTAGACATGCACGTAGAGAACATCAACATTAAGGGCAACAAAGCACAACACAGTCTCATGTATGAATCATTCCTCTTCTACAGTTTCTACTGTAGTGGGTCACACAGAGTTATGTTTTAATTCTTTTCTCACCAACGTTTCACGCTGCTTGAAAACAACCACACATGGTCTCGAAATACATTTTCTCTTTCCTTATCATACAAATCAAGCGTATGTACATGTATATGGTCCAAATGAGAGATTGACTGTATTTTGCATCAGGATATTTAACTTACAGCGATCATCAACATGCCTGCAAAGAGTGGCTGGCTCTACGCTATCCACAGGTATTTCAGGTATGCAAATATCATTTACTGGTTTTGTTTAATTGAGCTTCTCACATAGGACAGGCTTAAGAAGGGGGAAAGAGGGTGCAGTGAATCTTCCTGATGTGGCACATTTAATAGCCAAGTACACAGCATTATGTACAGATCTGATTTCATTTTGTGTTGCTTATATGCCTGAGGTTCTTGATGTCATTAGAAATAAAGCTAATATCATTATAGGCAACATCTAGATACTGGAGATCTCCTAATACAAACAACCTATAATGAAAGAAAGCGTAATGACGAATTAGAAACACAAATGACAGAGAATCATGGAGTCAGAATAATTTTTGCTGAAGGAGACCTCTGGAGGTCATCTAGTCCAACCCTGCAGCTCCAACCATTTCTAACTGCTACGCAGTGTGTAGGCCTCTATGGTTTTTACCTAGTATGGAAAAATACGATGACTTAGCTTATTTTCAGCATCCAAAACTGTGGTTCAGCTTTTACATGAGCTGTGATGACACCTACAGGTATTCTCTCCACTCAGTGGGGATGTTGAGGTAGGTGCCTCAACTCAATACCTAAAGACAGGAGGATGAAGCCAGGTCTTAGCATTCCAAAATACTCTAAAAAGGGACTTTTGCTTCCAGACGCCAGAATCTGCACAGGACAATCAAATTTTAATGTATTGACTAAGTTTTAAAACGCTACCTATTTTTACTGCTACATAAAGGCAGACAGTAGGGCTAAGAATGGAAGCCACAAGACGGTTTTTCTCAAAATATTTTCAGCTAGAATGTCTATTTACTGAAAATGAGCCACAGCTGACCGATACATTTATGCAGTGAAGATTAAATACGGCAAGATATTTTAGCAAGCATTACATTAACTTTCAGTACTCTGTCTTCTACTACTATGAGAAAGTCTTTTTTGCTTGGGTTAATTGCATGGCTAGAATGGAAATTAATGAAGGATTATAATGTAGGTCAAGATAGAAATCCTTGTTTGTGCTTATAAATGCTGCAATACTCTCAGTTAATAAAAAGTATCTTACCCAGATGGAAGATGTGATAGCAGATTGAAGGGAACTGTAAATTTCTTCAGTGACTTCAGTGTGTGAATGTCATTAGGGATTGCTCTGATGAGGTTGTTTCGGAGCACCAGGACTTGTAAGGTTTTAATATTAAACACCTGAGAAAGGAAGGGGACAGTGAGTGGAAAAAAATATGGCTGTTCATCACAAAGCATGTCACAGTTCTAAGTATTCTGTATTTCTAGTATTAGTAAACTGCGCTGGAAGAACTGGGAAATATTGTAAGATTAGAAAGTACAAGTACTATATACATAGATACAGCTAACTACTGTAAGCATTACTGCAGATACAGCGTGAGATACAGTTGCCAGTCACTTACTATATCACTTAAAACACTGTGATTGGGAGTTGCGAAGTAGAGCTGCTAGTGCTGCTGGGTGTAAAGACTGTCCAGCGTTTCCCTTTATAAGCCTTGGTTTTGTTCCTGGTCTTGCATCCTAACTTTCTGAGATTAAATTCTCCATTTCTATAATGCCTGCTTGAAGCACGTTTTTGCTAAAACCATATGAAGGGAAACTGGAAAAATATTTTATTTGGTCAGCATTTAAAAAAGACACCAGAAAACCCCCTGATAATATTTCCTGCTTTCGAAAGGGCAATGTTTTTTCAGATCATGGATCAAAACCACAAAAGGAGTAGTGAAAGTCTTCAAATGAGAGGTCTGACTGTTGGAAGCACCTTCATTTAAGTTACTCATCTGACTTTTTAAGGTCTTATATAGTCGGCTGCATGCAGATGGTGAGTCAGAAAGTCAGGGAGGGGTGGGATCACATTTTAGAAAAGTTTGAAAAATACTGGTTTAGCACCTTAGCTCAAGAACCCCGTGCTCCTGAGGGAGACATCTGAAGGTCTAAACTGGTGCTTCTCTGGGTGGGGGGGGGTTTGGACTAGATGACCTCCAGAGCTCTCTTCCAGCCTGCATCTGCAGCTGTAAATTGGCTGAGGACAGCCTTTGCCAAGGCAGACACAGCCCTGGGCCTGAACGGGGGAGACCGTGCAACCACGTAGCTACCACTGTTATCGGGTAGCATGGCAGCAGGTGTGGTATCCCAGGCTCGTAAAAAGAAGGAGCGTGGAAATAGCCACAGTTCCCTAAAATGGACATATCTGTCGGCACCACCAGGAACTTGCTTGAACTGAAAGTGTTTGCAAAATATATAGTCAGCCTGTGCTCACTAAAGCTTTTCTAGATTTTATTAGCTATTTGTGCCTAACTCTAGTTTAGATTTTCCCGGTAACTGCAGGTGTTTAGATGCTGCAGATCATGTCTGAATACCTTAAGTGAGCTGGCCAGACCGAGACGACTGGGGATGGTAGCTACAGGCTGCTCAGTTGTGGATAAGGGACAGGAAGACTCGTGGGAGCAGACAGGAACAGCTATGAAGACTGATGTGATTCTTTCTAAATTCCAAATAACCAAATACATAAAGAAGTTGAATATTGTAAATTATTATTTTTCGTTTCTTTTAAGTATCTGTGCCATGCCATTTGCCTCAATCATGAAATCGTGACTCTTTGAAAGCTATTTTTTATATCTGAACTGTAAAATTTCAGCCCAATATCATTTTAGTGAAGTCGTGGTAAATAAGCAGCATATACCTCTGTAGAAAAGAATTGTAAATTATTGAATGACAAGTTAAGGTAGACCAAGGTATCCATTAAATGGGTCAAGTCTGGAAGGTGAAACAAAAAGTAAGCCTAAAAGATACATTAAAAATGGATTGGCTGCATAAAGAAACCTCTCAGCCTTTTCACTTAAATGCAAAACAGGAACATCCTTAAGAACAATTCCTCAGGGCTCACAGATTTATCATAAAACAAAGCCAGAAATACACAGTTTGATTCCCCGGGGAGGGAGTCAGGTTCAGCAGTGTCAAAGCTATGTCTGAAGGGCATATTAGCATCTCAAAGCCCAGCCCACCTTGCTCCTTGCCACAGAATCCTTCAATGGCATTCCTACTCCCTTCCATCAAACCCAAATAATCAGTTCTCTTTTTCAAGGTGGATATGGACCAGAATTGGACTTCCTGCTAAGTTTATCCACTCAAGGAGCAACCCCTGGCCACAGGTCATGATGTACAGAGTGGCATATGTGGACACTGACTGCTTACCTGCTTGAGAGCAGACTGCACCTACACAGCACAGCACTGGGCCATGGTATCCTCTCTGCTTTCATGCATAATGATTATTTTGCAAGGTAGTTTTTTTTTTTTTTCAGATTGCAGAGTCTGAAATAAAGTGAAGACACTTCCTGATGCCTTCCATACTAATGTCTTTATAGCATGTAGAAGAGCATACAGGAGGATAGAGGGTGACAATCCCTAAAGCATTCTATTAATATGGAAAAGGGGGACAAATCATGTGCAGTCTTGTCCATACTGCTTACTAGGTTCGGCCCCTGCAATGAAACACCCTCGGCACTACAGTAGTTTTGTTGTAGAGGAAGCTGTTTGCTCACTCCAAGAAAAACTGGGGATGAATAAATATTTTTGCCATGTAGACGATCAGGGAACCAACACGTAATAGAGCACAGACACTGACGCACAAGCTCCACACCTGCAGTCATCGAGAGAAGCAAGGCGTTCTCTCTTATCAGTGCCCTGGTTCAGGCTTTCCTAATTGTGCAATGAAATAAGTGGCCCAGTTCTGTGGCTGCCTCGAAGCTCTGTCACTTTTGGCTTGTGTTTTCTTTTTATCCCAATCTACTACTTTTTTCAAACTGTGTTAGACTTCCCTTTGTAACCTTCCTAAGGCATGCTGGATATATTATCTCAGGCAGCCTAGTCAAGTTCTGGACTATACTCATCTTCCACAGAGGATCCAAACCGTCTAAACATACAATCCAAAACATCTCCAGAGCCCAGATGACGAAACTCTTTTTCACACTGTTACTCCTTTATTAAACTCTTTCTTTCATTTTTAACCTAGGAAATTTTATACAAACTCTGCTAGGAGAACAGTGTTTCTGCATTATTATGACTCCTCCGGAAAGTATAAAGTTATTGTTACATAAACTGCCTCAAACTACATAGATGCTGAGATCAATTTTCACTATTGTCACATATAATCTCAAATACACTTTAATATATATAATCTAGTACGTAGTTCCACCAGACTTAATTAATAATTTTCATGACAGATACACTATAAAGTATATCTATACAACATGCACTACCTTTCCAATTGCCTGTAGTCATATAAAATCTAAATCTAAGGGTTCCATTATGAGAAAATTTAGGAGTTAGAACAAATAGGTACATGAATGTAAATAATGAATATTATTATAATGAAAGAGAGTTTATATAATGGATTGGAGTTCAGAATTTTCTTAGATTCCTGGAATCTGTTTTGCAAGAAAAACAATGCTTCAGTGCTGAAGATTTCCCAGGGTAGTAGCAGGTGACTATAGTCAGAGTAAAAGAGCATTGTCTATATTTCATTAAAATAAAAAAGCAAAATGAAAATTCTTCTGGATGTAAACAAAAATCTGCAAATGTGGTACTAAAGATGAAAGATATTTCCAGCAAAAATGAAAATCCAATGCAGATGTTCTCATTGGTAGCTGTGAAACATTAAGAGATGTAATATCAACAAGACAGTCTGAGATACTTGGAAGATTTTTTCATGGAGTTCAAATCTGTTATGCCGATGAATTGTTTCAAACAGTGTAATTCATGAACAACAGATAAGAGCTCTCAAATATCTGTTCCTCACATGGAATAAAGTTCACTAATTTAGCAAACAGCTGCAACAATTCCTTCTGATTTTAAATAACTACCTTTGAGGATATGGAAGCAAAACCAGAAACATTTTGTCTTCTAAGCAATATGATAACCCCGAGAATAAATATCTTGATGAGACATTTACTGAGCTGTGGGAACTGTGGTGGCTCTGCTTCACAGGCAAGCCCTTCCCTTTTTCAAATCACAGCATTTCTGGTTCTAAGTGTGTGAATGGTCAGAGTATCTGAAAGAGCAGCTGAACCCTGTAAATCTGTCCTGTTTTGGCTTAAAGCAGATGATGGCACTGGGATTCCTTGGTGGGCCTAGGCAGGAGGACTGGCAGTTAGTGCATCTGGGGAAGAGGAGCATCTCTGGCCTTCCTCCCCTCTCCAGAGGCAGCAGCTTCTGGGCCCTGTGCACAAGGGGAAGTTTGGTTCTTCAGTCACATTCCCTGTTCAGACAGATATCTTTCTTTGATTTCTCCAAGGACAAGACAGTGGGCTGCATACTTTGGTCCTAGTCTGCTGATGGAATCATAAAAGCTTAAAAGCAGGGCAAATTTAGCGTGGTGTTTCTTTAGCAACAATAAATATGGTTATATATCACTTACTTAAAATGCTGCTTTTGCTGGAGTTTTTCATTACATCTTCAAGCACAAAAGCCAGACTTACTGTACGGCTGTGTGAAAACCTGTCTTCATATCTAACACATTTCTAAGATGCTGAAAAATATTTCCTGTTCTCAAAAGAAAGCAATGTCAATAACATTTAGGATTGTTTCATACTGAGCAAATGGAAATGTCTTGATGACTTAGGAAGATATTATTATTTAATCTTCTTACAAATCTACACTTCTCCTTTAATAAATAAGCTGACATTTCAGAGGCAATGTGCCTCAGGCAAATAAAAAATATGCTTTGCAAAATAGAAATGAAGACATTTAAAGGAAAATTGAAAGTGTTAACCACTTTCATAAGTCAATTTAATTGGAAAATTTTGGACCAATTTTTAATGGTAGCCAGGAATTGTCTGGAACACAAGAATATTGACACTGAAATGAGTTTCCTCCCCAGTTTTTGGTCTTCTATTAATGCTTGGCATGACTCTGCCAATTTCTTTACATGTGACTGAAATTGCTTTACATACAGATCTTCATCACTCTACAGCAGTGGCACGCAGTGACACAGACTTCAGGAGCTTCTGGATATGGTGGATCTTCAGGAACCGTACCCTAATCTCATCAAAGCATCATACCTCTCAGTTCTCCCATAGACAAAAAAAAAAAAAAATGCAGTATGACAGAACTTTATTTCCCTCATTGGAAGCCTTAGCAAAACTCCAGGGATCATTGTGTTTAGATGCTGCATAAAGTTATAAGATGTGTATACTGTGTGATGAATAAGGTGTCTCAAACCTCAGGCAGCAGTGGGGAGACTGTAGGAATAACTGAAGTCAGTCTGCTCCAGCAAAGGATGCCGTGCAGCCGCGGCAGTGCAGGGTTGTGCATGAGCTGAGTGGCAGGGCTGTGCCAGCGTGGCTGTCCTGCAGACCCAGCCTGCGTCCCTGCCTGTAGCTGCATCTCCCTCTGGGGATGTGTCAGCCCCCTCAAGGCTTGCCTGGAGCTCTCTGCAACGTGCAAAAGGTGGGCAGGCCCTCATAAGGTTGCGACCGTGCTGTGGTATTTAAGTACTTTTAAGTAATGTAAAATAATCTAAGTAGCTTGCCTCAAAAGAAGAATGGATGCAACACAGCAAAGAAGATTTCATCAGTGATGACCATGAACCAAGAATCTTTTTAGTACGTGGCAAGGCCTGGTGGTCTGCTAAAAACAGCTTGACAAGACTAGTCTTTCCCCTCTCAAAAAGTCAGCAAAATGATAGTAGTGTCAGCAAATAATAAACAGTAGGCAAAGTGTAGAGAAGTTGAATAAAATAAGGAGGAGGAGTTATCTGAGGATCTCAGCTGGTAAAGTAGGCAGTAGCTCCATTGATTTGGATGCTTTGGAGATGATTTATACAGCTGAGGAATTTATATACTGTACACTTTTCAGCAAAGAGAAAAAAAGATCTATAAATACTTTTCTCTACACCCACATAAGGGTATTGCTGGCAAGAATGTGAAAAATCAATAGTTTTTTTTTATAGTACCAAGAAAGAGAACTCCCAGCACTGTTTGCTTGTGATGATGGTTCTGGTATTTCCATCTCCATCATTGCCAGTTTCCATTTTGGTCACACTTGCAGAAATGGGTAATAAAGCGACATAATACCTTAGATTTGATAATTAAACTACTTACACATATGGTACCAAAGAACCTCAAAATAAATAGGTATCAGACAAAATTTGTACTGTATTGCCACAACAATATGGGATGCTTTTTATCATGGCTTACAAACACAACCATACCGCAGCATAATTTTTTTCAGGTACCAAGAAAATTCACTGTGAATACTGACATTTCAACAGGTTTTCTAGATCATAGAACAGGAAAGGGAAAAATAATACCAATTCTTTCAAGATCATGGAAAAAGGAATATAATTTTTGTGGTTAACTTACACAGAGCATTTGCTTAAGTCAGAGGTTCATTTAAAGAAGAAGGTATCCAGCTAGAATTATTCCCCAAATCCCCAATCAATTATTCCTGATCCACCCCCTCACTAGATACATTTATTCTGAGATATTAACGTCCATACCTGAAATCCACTATCTGCCACCAAAGAAGAGCTTGCTTATCCAAATAGCAACTCCTATTCCAAAGGAAACCTGCAGCAGATACTTGTGTGAAGCCTACAAACCATTTCTATAAAGGTGGCTTAGAAAACCATTTCCTAGTGCCAACTGCCAGGGATTTATGTCCTCCATGAAGGCAGAAACATGAATTCTGGCAGAGAATCCCACACTGGAGTTGGGGTGAAGATTCCTCTGGCTTGTTCTGCTAGGAGACTAAACTGCTGGTTCAGACCCACCAATGGACAAAGTTTAGGTCAGCAGGCAAATTCCCAGAAACCATGAAATATTAAATTTCTGGTTCCTTACCAAAAGCAAGAGGCACCTTCTCTCATTTTCCGCATCTGATAACTACTTTGTACAGTGCTGACGTAACTTGGGTTGAATTACGCTTCGGCAATAGGTGCAGTGCTGAGCAAGTGCCATGAAAATTATGCAGGATGCTTCAGAAAGAAAATTAGACACAGCAGAAGTACAGAGGAAATGGTAAAAGAAGGTGAGACAAAAGAAAATAAGAAATAAACAAGAGAGAACTATAGAAGAAAAGCACGTAAATCAGTTATCCCTACAGCTACTGTAATGTTAACAAAAGAGTTTTAAACCATTCTAAGCACTTCTTTTTCATACAGTGGTATAATAAGAAATTTAAGATTGTTTTTCTGTGGATGAGTTTACAAAGCCAAAAGATACTTTGAATGAAAGCTGCTATTGACTATTAAACACAGCAACATGAGTTTAAAAGGCTAAGAGCAATCTTCTGGTACAAGAAGCAACATAATACTTCCACTTGGGTGGGACCTAGACATCAGTTCTTTGTCTTCATCTTGCTTGCTTGCTATAAAATGGAAATTAGTTTCCCAAACATTCTCCACACTGTTGCCATCAGGGACATCATTAGAGACTATGATATAAAAAAATGATGTCAGGCATTACAGAACTTCCTAGGGGAAAGCAAATATTAGAAAATAAAGACTGAATGAGAAGTATTCTGCAAACCTCCTACATCTAATCCTTGAGATCGTCTGTTGCCATACTCAGACAAAGCTCTCACACAGTAATCAATTAACTCATGAATACCTGCATAAAGATGTAAACATTGCAGATTCGTTACAAACACTTCCTTTCTTTTTTCCTTTGACGGGAGAAGAGTAAGTCATCATGTACAGGAAAAAGGGGCCTGTGAGTAGAATTGGATTGTGGCCTATGTTAATGGCAGTAATTTGCCTTCCTCCATAGCTACCGTTTGCAGTTACAGGCACTACAGGCTTCTCATTGTGCTGGAGTGTACTCAACCCAAAACAGTTCAGAAGTGGCATCCTTTTCCTGAGTGATTTAGGTCTTGTCCCTTCAACCTCACTGTCACTTCAATGCCAGATCAAGATTGCAGATTAACTTGTTACATTATAATTCCACTATTTTGCTAAAACAACAGGATGTAGCAGTTGTAGTCCTCCAGAGTCTGTAAGTGGCATGCTGCGTTTCTGAGAATCTCATTTCCCATAATGTCATTTTATGACTGTCAACCCACGTCATCCATCTAGTTTCCTTCTCAAAAGTGACACGTACTTCTTGATCCTACCTATAAAGGGTCCTTTTTCTCTTTCAGGTTCAGGTAGCTTTAAGTAATGTATAGTATATACATTTATTCTTTCTTTTCCTCTTGTAAAAGTTCTTCTGGTCAACCAGATTTTTTCATTTTCTCTTTCAAGGCCATTTCTAAAGAGAAGGGCAAAATAATAGTGGAAGACACGTTGCATGTGCAAGAACTAGATTCCTTTATACATATGGCTCAGATCCTTATTTTGCAAAAGCACTATATAATATTAAAAATAGCAGTAAGAAAGACCTTGAACATGAGAGATTAATATTTAAAGCTTTTATAGCTTCACAAATGACATAGAATCGTAAAATAATTCATATTGGAAGGCACCTCTGGGAGAGCATCTGATCCAACTCCCTGCTCAAAGCAGGCCTAGATCAGGTCGCTCAAGGCCTTTTCCTGCTGACTTCCAAATGTCTCCAAGGATGGAAACCCATAACTTGTCTCAGGAACCTGTGCCAATGTTTGATCAACCTCATGGGGAAAAAGATTCTCTTGTATGTAAACAGAATTTCCCATTTTCCAGCTTGTGCCAGTTACCTCTTCTGTTCTGGGAAGAGTCTGACTCTAGCTGAAGGCAGCAGTATGATCTCCTTTTAAGCATCTCCTCTTAAGGTTGAACCAACCCCGCTCTCTCAGTCTCTCCTTATGTGTGTTCCAGCCTCATGACCACCTTAGTGGGCCTCTACCAGAGCGTGTTAATATCTATTTTATACTGGAGACCCCCAAACTGGACACAGAACTCCAGATGTGGTTTTACAAGTTCTGACTGTGGGCTTATAATCGCTTCCCTTGACCTACTGGCTATACTGTTATTAATACAGCCAGAATGTGGTTGGTTTTCTTTGCCACAAGGGCATGATACCGGCTCATGTTCAACTTGCCATCCACCAGGACCCCCCGTCCTTTCCTACAAAGCCATTTTTCCAGCCACTTGGCTCCATCCTGGTGCATGAGGGGTAATTCTGTCTCAGGAAATCCGGGCCTAAGATTTTGTAGTTTATCATTGCGCTGGGTGTACGTGCCAAGGTTTTGGTAGAGGTGGGGCTGCAGGGATGGCCTCTGCGAGAAGAGGCCAGGGGCTGCTCCCATGTTGTACGCCGTTGGTTCCAGGTGGCTCCAAGAGGCCCACCTCAGGGCATGGCAGAGCCTGTCAGCCAAGATGGGTAAATGTATTTTAAAACAGGCAAAACACTGCACAGCGGTTGGGAAAGAGAGGAATGAGAAAAATCTTAGGGAAACAACCCTGCAGACACCTTGGGTCAGGGAAGAAGCGGGGAGGAGGTACTTGGGGTGCCAGAGCAGAGATCCTCCTGCAGCCTGTGATAAAGACGGTGGTGACCCAGGCTGTGCCCTGCAGCCCGTGGAGGTCCACACTGAAGCAGATATCCACCTGCAGCCCACGGCAAGCCAATACAGAAGCAGGTTTTCCGGTGGGACCTGTGGCCTGTGGGGAACCAATGCTGGAGCAGTTGTTGAAGGGCTGTATCCCATGGTGGGGATCTCACTCTGGAGCAGGGGAAGAGCGTGAGGAAGGAGCAGCAGAGATGAAGTGCTACGGATTGACCCTACCCCCTGTTCCCCATCCTCTGGGGGAGGCCATTCATGGCTAAGGCATTTGTCTTCTGAAGCAGCCGCTATGCATACTGAGGCCCTGCTTCCCAGGAAGTGGCTGGACATCACCTGCTGTTGGGAAGCAGTGAATAAATTTCCTTTTGCTTTGCTTCCACGCGCAGCCTTTGCTTTCCTTATTAAACTGCCATTATCTCAAACCTCAAGGATGTCCATTTTTTCTCCCCCTATCCTGTTGAGGAAGGGGAGGAAGAGAGTGGCTGGATGGGGGGGTCTGGCAGCCAGCCAAGGTCAACCCACCGCAGTCATAAAATGGTTTATTCTGTAATGCAGATATTGTGAAAGATTTTCACAAAAAAATCACTCCCAGCTTCAAAAACTGAGATGAAATAATAATATGCCTGACCAGTACAAGGTAGTGAACAAATACATAACTTAACAGCTGTGTACACTCAACTTACTGGTTCACACAATCAGTCTCAAGTACCTCCCTCCTCTCAGCCACCACACCTTCATCTGCAGTGTGAGCAACGAGTACAGAGCTCAGCACTGGCTGCAGTGAACATCTATGGGTTTCTGTGCTTAAAATACAACCAATATGGTTTGCTGCTTTTTATGAAGTTTTGCAGCTGACCATGAGTATATAACATCAAGCGTCAGCCAGCAAAGGACACTGCAAAACTGTAGTCTACGATAAATAATCAAAAAGCAGATATCTATTTTGTGCTTATTCATTTCACCCACCTTAGGTGTTTATTGTGGGGTAGTAAAAATTGCCTTGTGAAATTTTCTCATGCTTCATACGAGAGGATTTATTATTTTTTGCAAGATGGGAAGCTATTAGTCCCACTAGGAATTTCAGTAATAATAAAATTTCTCCTAGGAGTTTGGACAGAAAAAACGTTGGTTTTTGGTTTTATTTTTTTTTTTTTTTTTGCTTTGCTTTGGCATTTTACTGCTTGAGTAAGACAGGAATGCTTGCAGTAATGCCTGGTAAAGACCAACATGCAGGGTTGTTATGAACTAGAGATGGAGAGTATCTGTCACCTCCATTTTTTCTGTCGGGAAGCTTCCTTGAGAATCAAACCTCTCCTTTCGTCATGGAAACCTGTAGTTTTGGGCTGGAACTGTATTTCCCCATGGTTCCTATCTTGATTAATGAGGTAGGCATATCTGTGTTGGATACATACTGGGCAAGAAGTGTGGTCAAACCGGGGCTGTGTACTGCTAGGCTGAAGCTGAGTCTGAAGAAGGGGGTGTTTGAGATGGATTTGCATTTGACCATGGCAAATCTGATGAACAGACAGGCATGTATCTTTAGATTGGATTTGTAAGGGACTGTGGGTCGTGCTCATTGTCGAGGGAAGCATCTGTCTGCTTGACTTGCCCTTGACCACTGCCAGACACTTCTTTTCCATTTTCATAATTTGTACTCTTTATCACTCTAGTTAGGTATTGTATACAAATCCTGCCTGTTGAAGAGAAGAGAAAAAAAGACTTTTATAATGATGTGTACTCTGGCATCCTTTTTGAGGAACAGATTGTGTGACAACTTTTCCCTGCCCCACACAGATTTTTCTTGTTCAGATGAAATGTGCCAACAATTAAGACTAAGCATCTCAATACTGCCAATCACAAAATATGTTAGTCTTTTCTTTCAACACGTGGAATTCACCTACACACTATACTGAATGATGTGTAGTATGCAGTAGAAGAGTTTGATAACAAGCAGGACAGAAAGGGCAGGTTTTCAGAGGTACTTTATGAGTTGCATATTTTAATGAAGAATCCATGAGCAGTGTTCTACTGCATGTGAAATATGGCCTTTTGCATCACGGACAAGTCCCTATTTAGGGATCCTGAATCCATTCTGCAAGGTGCCACGTGCCAATGCAATGAGATCTTTCACCTGAGAAGTAGATGGGGCTCCTTCAGTGAGTGTTCCTCTGTATGCCCCATAGAATTCCCTGTGTCACCTAAATCTCATGCTAACCCTACTGCATGAGAAAGCAGAAAAGGCAAGTTCCATATGAAAAAAGCACCGTGGAGTGGACTCATTTAAAGTACGGTGATACAAGTGAGGTCAGTTGTGGTCAGACTGTGAAAGGAACAGGGGAATCAGCTTCTGAAAATTGTCTCAAAAGTGACTGCAGGATGTTTTACAAGTCATAGGCAGCTTCACAGAGTCCATCATGCATGTGCAGAAGCACTGCTATTAGCCCCTGAGGTCTGATTCATCCTTCTACTGTCAGGCACCCAGCTGAAGAACCAGAGTCCAAAGACTGTCTGCTCCTGTCCCGGGTCCTTTTAATGATATAACAGGATATACAATTCCTCTCTTCAGAAGACGGAAAAGACTCTTCAGAGGGTGAATCAGATTTGCAGACAGCTGAACTCACTGAAATTGCTTATGTCTCTTCACTGATTACTGAGAGGCTTATAACTTCTATTTACTTAGTTTACTCACCTCCATTTAATGACTGAGTGTGTGGTGGGATGGTACTGAGCACTGGTGTCCCACACCACTGAGGCAGAGGCTCATTTCCTACATCTCACACAAGAACTGGACTTGGACTTTGTTACCAGAGATATTCTCAAAGATCTCATTCTGGAGGCCCATTGGTTCCTTAGCTAATCCCCAGTTTCTGAACAGCACTGCAGCCAGCGGTTATTTAGTCCTGAATATTTTTATTGGCAAAGAAATACTTAGTAAATTATCATTCTTTCAGCCTGTGTAGTTCCACAAGGTTGATGCTCTGTTCCCTTTGCTAGGGAGACTGATTTCCAGGGACCTGCTGAGGCAGAATTTACTCTTTATAGCTCTCCACTACAACTCAGCTCTCAAAGCAAGCTGGAACTATTGGCCTATCTCCCCAGCTTTCTTGCCCTCCACCACAGTGGTTGACAGCTTCCAGCCCTCTGCTGCGCACAACCCATGCCCTCACATTTCCGCTGCCTTTTCAGACAGCTGCTTCACTGTGTTACATCCTTACTTTCCATACTTCCCTGCAGGGGAAAAGACACTTATGCCACGCCACACTATCCTTTTTTTTCCTAGCCCAGGGCTCCCGCTCTCAGGTCTCAGTCTCACAGTTCATGAAGCACAAAATGCTTCTGTCCACCAAGGTGATTGAATTTACCGTTGCTGAAGAGTTTCTTGCTGATCAATGGGCATGATGCTGTAGAAATATCCTTCAGGTGTAGTGGTTACATTTGGAGAAATGATCCTTGAACAAACTTTACTGTGCAGCTCTTAGATTCTTGTCAGGTTTACTATATAAACACATAATCTATAAATAACATCCATCACTAATATGTACTACTACAAGGAGAGCCACAACAACAGAACTTTGTTTCAGGATAAAAGGTTTATCTATCACTTTTAAAATGGTTTAAATCATTGAAGCACAGCTCTGGTAGTGAGCCAGAAATATTTACATCTGTACAGCGTCAGACTGGAAATGTGTTGTACAGAAATAGAAGTTACCAGCCTTCCAAAATAATATTCAGAAGGGCTTAATAATATCAAAGAGCCAATAATTTTATCATCTGACTTTTCAACCTTACTTCTCTAGCTGAATTTTCTTCACTATTTTTAATACTGTTATAAAGGTATTACTTTCAATATACTATTGTTGTTACTTTTAAATTAATATTACATATTGATAATAAAAAGTATGGTATGACAGTATTCTAACAAAATAAAACAAAAAGTCAAATCACTTACCATTTATTTCAAACATCATAAAAATTATATTGATTCATTTTCTTTATGGTTGCCTGCTTTATTGACTATGTGAAGATTGAGGAGTTTTAGTTATTTAGATACTCCTACATAATTACAGAAGCTAGATGAAAAACAAAAAAAAAAAAAAGAGAAAGCTTGCTCTGGTCTCTTTAATACAGTTTGTAGGGACAGCATTATTTTTTCATGCTACCACTTTTTCTAGTGTGCTGATCCGTGAGAAAAAACATTGTAAAATTTCTGTATGCTATACTTCTACTGCAGATCCTGGGGTCTAACGCATTTGACAGAAGTCAGTGAACCTGTTCAGATGCCAGGGTCCTTTTCTACAGATCTGTTTTCGGGGTTGGTGTCCAGTTCCCAGCTTTTTTTTTTTTTATTACTGAGGTTAAAAATATTTTGATTATTTTTCACTTTTATTTTTAAAGGTTAGTCCTTAAATATTTAATCAATAGCTACTTTATATAAACTGGAAAGAGCTTTCCATTCACATATGCAGGCACACAAAATGTTGAGTTATTTCTGAACCATATGGCACTGCAAGTCCTACGTTTTCATTAGAAATCCCTGATGCCTTTAAAATAAGATATTCTTTTTACATGGATGTATATTCTGAGAAGAGCAGGACCATTCCCCAAAATGTCTTTTTTTTTTTTCATTTTGTCTGAATCAAAGTTGGATCTCACTTCCCCTGTGGTCTGACTCCATGTGATCTAATTTATTTTTCCCTGACGCCAGCAGTTTTTCATGTTATCTCTCATATTTTTGGATCAGCTAGGGGGAATGGCTCTATGTCTTGGTGAGTGATGCTCAAGTCTGCTAGGTGGAAGGCCCAAGATCCAGGACCTGCCTCAATGACTCTTCCACTATCTACACAAAGAGCCTCCCGAAGAGATTCCGCTCATATGGGCCATACTGCAGTCTTACTCACACTGCTTTGCACTAGTAGCTTAACCTCCAATATCTCTTCTTCTATGCTAATTTTAGAGAACACAGGGAATTTGAAACTATGCACTACAGGAATTGCCTTTGTACAATTTACCTTTACCAACACTCTCCCTTGGTGTAGACAGTCTAGACGGCAGCTTAAGAGGCAGAGGTCGATGAAGCAGTTTTGGCTGCTCAACCATTTTCTGCTTTGCCTTTGTTCCTGCCAAATGACAGAAGATATTTCAAAAAAACAGAAAAATATGACAAGGCAAAACAAAAGAAATAATCATCCCTACTTTAAGGTGCTGAACTATAAATGTCTGCTCAGATAAGCCAGGTGATAAAAGAATCGTAACACAGGATAAGTGGCCAAAACGGGCATTTGTTCTCTTAGTGACTGACTCAACATTTTTTCTAGTTATTATTAGTGCTTCAGGAAATAAATCAGTAATATTATTAAAAAAAAAAATAAAAACCAAAACAAAAACCAAAACCAAAACAAAACACCACAGTAAAAGATCTATTCTAATAACTTTGGAATGCTTGCATTAAAGAATATGTTTCAGCACCTCTGTCACAAAAGGTGAGGTAATTGGAATTTTTTAATCTCTGAGCCAAAGGAGGAACAGTAAAATAGAGAAGCACTGCATGTCAAGCATTCTGAAAGCTCCCGGAAACAGTTTTCTGCTGGATAAACAGATTTAATAAGAGCAACAGTTAACCCTGGTAAAAGGCCGAGTCTGCAAGTAACAATTTTATGCTTCTTTCTGTTTGCCTGTTAGCTTTTGAATGCACACAATGATACGGATTTCAATCAAGAACCCCTGTTTTGGTTTCAGAATTCCTCTTATTAGTAGCCAAGTTTAGCAAATCTCTGATTTGCAGCAGTTTTCAAGATTATCTACATCCTAAATTGTGGAGTTTTGTTTGGGGTTTTTCTTTTCTTTTTTTTTTTTCCTTTCTTTTTTTTCTTTCTTTTCTTTTCTTTTCTTTTCTTTTCTTTTCTTTTCTTTTCTTTTCTTTTCTTTTCTTTTCTTTTCTTTTCTTTTCTTTTCTTTTCTTTTCTTTTCTTTTCTTTTCTTTTCTTTTCTTTTCTTTTCTTTTCTTTTCTTTTCTTTTCTTTTCTTTTCTTTTCTTTTCTTTTTTTCTTTTCTTTTCTTTTCTTTTCTTTTCTTTTCTTTTCTTTTCTTTTCTTTTCTTTTCTTTTCTTTTCTTTTCTTTTCTTTTCTTTTCTTTTCTTTTCTTTTCTTTTCTTTTCTTTTCTTTTCTTTTCTTTTCTTTTCTTTTCTTTCTTTTTTTTTTTCTTCTTTTTTTTTCCTTTCTTTTTTATTTTCTTTTCTTTCTTCTTTTATTTTCTTTTTATGTAGGGCTAAAAACATATAAGATGTCACACAGTATAAAGACTCGGTCCTAAAGAACTGGAAATTGGAAGGAAAACACGGAAGTGAAAGCACTGATGAAGGTGAATTTGAAGAGAAACTGAAAGTGCCATCAGGAAACTAATGGCTCACAGGAAGATTTAGGAAGATTAAGAAAATTGTCATATACAGCTAGAAGCAAGGACATCTCTAGGCAAAAAATATTTCAATAATTTAATTTGAAAGTAGATAAACTTGAGACTTCAGTACAGTTTTGCATGTGAACAAGATTAATTTAAATGAAGTGTAGCATTATTTAAAACTCTGATGAAAAGAAAAAAATACTGTGATGAGTATTTTTTTACATATGGGGACAGCATCCTTGCAATAAACTGGAGGCACAGGAGGAAGAATATGATATTAAAAAACCAAAGAAACAAACAAAAAACGAACAACAAAAAAACCCACAGTGCAGCATTTCTTAAGAAACCAAAGAAGTTGAGTTTCAAGAAGAGGAACAAAACACCCTATAGCTATGTCTGGACGTCCCTAGTGGTACACTGCATCTTATCATTCCCATCTTTCACTCTTCAGGATAAGGGTTTTGGCACTTGCCACATGGATCATAGCACAAGGAATAATTCAGCTTGGAAGATACCTCAGGAAGTCTCTAGTTCAACCTCCTGCTCACAGCAGTTGAAGTCTGAGTAGATTACTGAGAGCTCTACCCAAGGATGGAGACCCCTCAACCCCTCTGGGTAACCTCTGGGCCTCCTTCCAACACTGATAGAAATCAGGACATAGAGTGCATACTCAGTTAGGGTACACATCTAACGATAGATAAATGTCCTTGTTTTCTCTCATTTATAGGTAACCTGTGTTGATCTGACCGACAGATCAAGGATGGTGAGAAGAGTTCGCAGTTTTGGTTAAGAAGAAAGCATCAGTGCCTTGAGGAGCACTGCCTCCAAATTACCCCAGGGGCAGAACAGATTGTAAAGAAATGAAGGCTTAGGATAAAAGCGGAGTGAAAGAACTCCTGATAGCAAGTGTACATTGCACGTTCAGTTGTCTCAGAGTCAGGGAAGGAGGTGAAAGCACCACAGGAAACCTGAAGTCATGGGGATGAGCAGGGTGGATAAGAAGGAAATCAGGAGACTGGGTGGGGGCAGTGGAGCAAAAGCAGCGCAGATAAGAAACCTTAATGTTTCTGGCAGTGAAGAAAGATAGAGTTGTTCAAACTGCTAGAGACAGGAAGGGTAGAAGCAAGCCAAATGGAGAGGGAACATGATTTTCTCATGAGATAAAACTGACCATTATAGTTGGTGAGATTCTAGGTAAAAATCAAAGTGAAAGCAGAAACGAGAAGTATAAATGCTGTGATCACTGATGCAGGTGTAATTTAGTTCAAAACACCAGACAGTTGAGCCAACGAGGCTCATCAATGCTGAAGAGGGGAAGATGAAAATCAGAAGTGGGGAAATTCAGCCTGGTGAATAGGCAGGAGAAGAGTGAAGGATACAGGAACAAAGGAAGAAAACGCCTGTGATGAACCCTGCCAGGCTGAGACCTTGCTGTGGGAGAAGAGCAAAGTCAGGGATGCAAGAAAGGCAGGAAAACAATTTACAGCAAACATGTAATGAAAAGGAAGAGTGGCACAGAGTGACTTCAGATGTGGATCAAAAGAAACCTTGGTACCATTGTATTCTGCTCTAACCTTTGCCAAATATCAGGAACTTTCTGCTGCACAGTATCAAAACCAGGTTAATGTTGATCATGAAAAAGCATCTGTTCTGTGTATCACCTCAGAGCAAAACTCTTCACAGGATTTCCTTTTTAAAAATGTATTTTCTTGAGCAATATAGTAAGTGTACAACGTAATACACATTACTAGTAAGATACAACACCGTGCTTGGTTTTGTTCTTCACCCTGAAACTTTCCCACCTTTAAATGGAAATTTTCCCTTCTCCTTAACATAGTTTTTACATCTTTGTTTAAAAGGTGCCTTCCACAGCACTGCCTGACACAAGCAGAACAGGTGAACCTTTGACCAGACTTAGCTCCTGCCTCTGACCTAAGAAGGGGTAGCACAGTCACACCGTGAAAACATCTCCAAACACTACACATGCTTGGGACTTCTCACTTTTGTACTGGGTTTGCGTGGCAAGGTTTTGGCAGTGGGGAGGACTACAGAGGTGGTTTCTGTGAGAAGCTGCTAGAAGCTGCCCCCATGTCTGACAGAGCCAATGCAGCTGGCTCCAAGACAGACCCACCACTGGCCAAGGCTGAGCCCATCAACAGAGGTGGTAGCACCTCTGGGAGTTAAGAAGGGGAAGAAAACCTGCTGCACAATTGCAGCTGGAGAGAGGAGTGAGAATATGTGCGAGAACCTACTCTGCAGACACCAGGGTCAGTGAAGGAGGAGGGGGGAGGAGGTGCTCCAGGCACCGGAGCAGAGGTTCCCCTGCAGCCCCTGGTGAAGACCACGGTGAGGCAGGCTGTGCCCCTGCAGCCCGTGGGGGTCCACAGTGGAGCTGATACCCACCTGCAGCCCGTGGAAGACCCCACGCTGGAGCAGGGGGATGCACCCAAAGGAGGTTGTGACCCTGTGGGAAGCCCACGCTGGAGCAGGCTCCTGGCAGGACCCGTGGAGAGAGGAGCCCACGCTGGAGCAGGTTTGCTGGCAGGAGCTGTGACCCCGGGGGGGACCCACGCTGGAGCAGCCTGTTCCTGAAGGGCTGCACCCCCTGGGAGGGACCCACGCTGGAGCAGTTCATGAAGAGCTGCAGCCCGTGGGAAGGACTCATGTTGGAGAAGTCCATGGAGGACTGTCTCCCGTGGGAGGGACCCCACGCTGGAGCAGGGGAAGAGTGTGAGGAGTCCTCCCCCTGAGGAGGAAGGAGCAGCAGAGACAGTGTGCGAATAACTGACCCCAGCCCCCATCCCCCTGTGCTCTGGCAGGGGAGAAAGGAGGGAAATTGAGAGTAAAGTTAAGCCCAGAAGAAGGGAGTGGTGGGGGTGGGGTGTTTTTAATATGTTTTCACTTCTCATCATCCTACTCTGATTTGACTGATAATAAATGAATTATCCCAAGTTGAGTCTGTTTTGCCCATGACAGTAATTGGTGAGCGATCCCTCCCTGTCCTTATCTTGACCCACGAACCTTTTCATTATATTCTCTCCCCTGTCCAGCTGAGGAGGGGAGTGATCGAGCGGCTTTGGCGGGCACCTAGCGCCCAGCCAGGGTCAACCCGCCACAGCTTTGATTCCTCCATTGCTGCCCGTCCCTCACAGGCTGCTCTGAGCACCCAGCTGCTCGCCAGCCCTTCAGGCTGGGTGCTGAGGCGCTCTCCCGGGCCAAGACTCCCAAGAAATCCACCTTCCTCCCTTCGCAGGGACGGCGGCGGGGGGCCCCCCCCTCAGCCACAACCTTATGGGAGCCGGAGCTTGCCGGGGGCGGCCAGGCGTCCCCAAACCCCGGCGCAGGGTCACCACGGCCCTGAGGAGGGTTCGGACGGAGCCGCGGCCTTCCCGCCCGCGCCAAACCCCGCCGCGGCCGTTGGGAGCGGCCCCTCACGGCGGCGGCGGCGGCGGCGCGCGGCCGAGGGGGCGTGTCGGTGGGCGTGTCCACCCCGGGGGGTGGGCGGGGCTCAGGCAGCGGCGCCGGTGGGAGCGGGCGGAGGGGCTGCGGCAGCGCCGGCATCGCCTGTTGCAGCGCCGCTCCTCGCTGGTAACTACTCTCTAATCATTATAATTAATATTTTTTTTTAATTGTTATTGTTATTCACACACACACACACACCCACCCGCGACGCTCACGGGTTAAAAAAAAAAAAAAAATTAAATTAGATTGAGCCCCCGCCGCTCGGCGCGGAGAGTGGCGGGCGGTGCCCGGGTCCGGTGCGGGGGTCCCGGCGGCGATTCGCGGGGA